GCCAAGAATGCACAAAAGAAATTGGAGGAAGACCATCGCCATAACAAAGCTATGGAGTCTTTGGGCAAAGGATTGTATTTGAGAAAAAATGCTAAAGGTGGTTATGGGTTGTACCTCAAAAAAAAAGTCAAAAAAACTAAACATCAAGCTACCCAAGAAAGCGCTTTATGATTATGAAATAAAGCAATATGCGAAGCTCTTGAACATACCTCATTTCCGAGGTGTCTTCATGCGTGACACTTTACCACGAGACGGTCCACGTAAAAGAGAATGCGCCGTCGTGAACTTAGATATTTCACAAAACAACGGAACTCATTGGGTAGCTTATAAAAAGATAAACAACAACGTTGAGTATTTCGATTCATTTGGTAACCTGAAGCCTCCACAGGAACTTGTTCGATATCTGAAAAACGCTAAAATTTTCTACAACAACGATCCTTACCAAACTTATAATCAAGTTAATTGCGGACAATTGTGTTTGAAATTTCTAAACAATAACAACAACAACGATGGATAATAAAACATTATCGGAATTTACATTAGAAGAGTTTGAGAAGAATATTCCGCCGCTGGAATATTTAATAAGCAATGTGAGACCTGCAGAATTGTTGAGTATATGGCACAAACTGCCTGCAGAATACACATCCAATTTTGATCTTCAAATACGACTTCCATGCTATGTTCACTACAACAGACCTGATTGGACAACACATTGGGATGGACCGGCTACTGCTCAAGCAAATTGTTATTTCTGTAAATTATCCATTCGAAAATAAACAAAAAAAAACTTGAATAAATGCTTAGTACACAGCTATATTTTTTCATTCATCATGTCGCAGTTGTTGAGAGTCAATAGCACTACTCATATATTTTCATTTCGTCCTTCAACACCGATAGTGTTGGATCCGAAAAAAGATTATGAATTGGCGCTTAGGTCTTTTACTTCATACAATTCCATACCGAATATTGAAAAAGGAGATAAATTTTATTATATCGACCGGATAGGTGGTGGTGGTGGTCAATTAAAAGTCATCGAGTTTCCGACAGGTTGTTATGAAATTACCGACATAGAAACATTTATACGAACGCAAATGAATCTTGAAAATGAAGTTGCTCCTCCGGATGATTATTTTTCTCTAAAACCTAACAATAATACACTGCAATGTGAAATCTTTAGCAAGTATTATAAAATAGTTTTTACAGAACCGAATAATCTTGGACATCTATTGGGATTCTCGAAAAAAGTTCTTAATCCTGGTCAAAAGCATTCTTCTGATTTACCTGTAAACATAATAAAAGTATCAACCATACACTTTGATGCTAACATTACGTCGGGAGCCTTTGACGGAGACACGCCTGCACACACGATCTACGAATTTGCTGTGACAGCCGATCCTGGATACGCTATAGTCGAAACACCTGTAAATTTACTATATCTACCTGTTATACCGAAACAAGAAATAACCAACATCACAGTGTTGGCTTTAGATCAAGACGGTCGTCCTGTAAACTTTCAAGGTGAAACTAGTACTCTTGTGTTGGAGTTGAGAGCGAAGCGCAGATGGGATTAGTGATTATAAGACATAGTGGTGCTTCCAAGGCAACTTCAGTATTACCCCAAGCACCTAAGCGACGACATCTACTACTAACTACATCAAATATCCTGTTTCTACGCTCACTTGGATATCATGTCAACAACAACAAGAATCATGTACAAAAAGAGAAAAACTGAGGAGGCAGCAGCAGCAGCATCACATACTTCTCCGATGTTTGATCTATATCGATCTCCAGCATTCGATGAATCTATTCGCAAGGCTGAGTATAGATCTTATACGCCGTTCATCAAGTCATTTAATTGTAATGATGTTGTGGAATTTAGCATCAATCAAGTAGATTCGTTCTTTGCAATGAACGCTTCCCTTCTATCTATCAAAGGAAAAGTTGAAATAACTGGAGGAGGAGGAGCAGGAGATGTATCTTTAGCTCCAAACTTTGGTGCCTTCCTATTTGACTCTTGCACTTACAGTGAATCCGCTAGAGAAGTTGAAACAGTACGTGATCCTGGTATTGTAAGTACTGTCCGAGCTTACGTATGTTACAGTGAGGAAGACTCAAATCATATGGCTATAGCTGGATGGAACTATCCTTCAACACCTATAATGGCGTCAACACATAACAAGTCTTTTAGCTTGCTAATGCCGCTTAAACATATTTTCAACATTTTCAATGATTATCCTATGATTACGTGTGGCAGACAAACTCTCAGATTTGTGAGAGCTAGAAACGATAACGATTGTATCATTATCAAGGAAAAAACTGGAACGACGACGACAGCGAAAATAACTATTGAAAGCATGGAACTGAAAATCAAACATATTTACCCGAGTGATGATGTGAAAGAACAACTTTTGAAAGCTATTCAAACTGATAAGCCGATACTTATACCATTTAGAAAATGGGATCTGAATGAACTGCCTGCAATTACCGCAGATGCGAGAAGAGAAATATGGTCAGTTAAAACTAGCACCGCAATCGAAAGACCACGTTTCATTATAGTATGTTTCCAAACCGGTAAACGTGACGTCGCAACCTCAGACCCTACCCTGTTTGATCACGTGAATGCTGCTAGTATTCGAGTATCTTTAAATGGTGAATACTATCCCAACGAACGTATGCAATTGGACTTTGCAAACAATCACTTTACTGAAGCTCATTTCAACTATAGCGACTTTCAAACCAGCTATACAACTTCTTCTTCTCCTCTGAAGAGATGTCTTTTAGATTATACCGCTTTTAAAAATCGCGCTTTGTTTGTTATTGACTGTTCCAAACAAGAGGAAACCATGAAATCATCAACTGTTGATGTTAGATTGGATATCGAAGCCGATACTGGCTTTCCAACCAACACCAAGGCCTACTGCATCATTATACATGACTGCTTAATCGAGTACTTCCCCCTCACCGAAGTTATTAAAACCATCTCGTAAGCAACGAAGGACTCTCAGTTCCGCATCAGACATCATGAGGATCGCGTTTGTTGACATTCAAGGCTTTACAGTTGACGGATTATTCGTACCTAAAGAACTATGTATCGAAATTGGTTTCAAGAAAAGTCATTACATCTTTACACCTCCGCAACCTTTTTCTACATTAAATACTAAAGACAAGAAAACTGTCGCTTACTTGGAGAAGAATTTCCATGGGCTTAAATATTCTTCCGGCGACGTTAAATATTCCAAGTTAAATGAAATAATTAAAAATAAGGTGATATATGCGGCTGACTATGTCTACGTTCGTGGAGAACAGAAAGCAAACTTTTTACTCAAGAAATGTCACATTTTTGGTGTTTTTCCCAACATTATTGATGTTTGCAAGTATGATGGTACACCGTGTGCTACTGGAAACTTTGTTGCTGATTCCAATCCATGCCACACCAACGGACAATTTTCCTGTACCCAGAGAAATGTTGAACGTCTACGCCACTGGTTTTCAAATATCATATTACCTATGTAGTTTTTTTTCTATTTTCAATAAAATATTAAACGTATTATTGTAGTTTTATTGAAAATACCTCTGGTTTGCGAAATAATTGTCAGAATGTCTATACTATTTTCATTTTGAACGGTATCATCCTGTATAATAATAACAGTACATCGTATACAGGTTATGAGACATTCTGACCGACCGACCGACCAGAGGAGCCCACCACGCTATTTAGGTCACGCCTTGCTATATACGATTTAACGATATACCGTCGGTCCATCGATCCGCTATTTTTCGATGCACCCCTGTATACACGTTGCCCCCCGTAATCCACGCCAACACCAGACAGGTGCGACATCGGCGCCATCTATGCGCGAGATGCCCAACCCATCAATGGCAGCTGTCCAATGACACATAGATTCCGTTTGGTTTGTACAGCGCCAAACAAATCGGCGCCATCTATGCGCGAGATGCCCAACCCATCAATGACAGGTGTCCAATGACGTATAACAGATGACGTTTTAACGCCATCTATGCGTGAGATGCCCAATGACGCATGACAGGTGTCCAATGACACACAGATTCCGTTTGGTTTGACAGCGCCATCTAGCGGCGGAATCCCCAACTCATGAATACAGATTCCGTCCAACAACCTGTCAATGGCGCGCGACGCCAGCGCCTCTGGTGGCGGATTTTGGAAGTTTTGAGACCGAATCCCCATAGACCATCTACTTATGTTTTCCATTTGTTGCTTGATTTTTATAATTTATCATGGCTAGTACGAATCTTGAAAATAATTTAAGGATAGGACATATTAATGTACGATCACTGATACCAAGTTTGAACGAAATTAAGTCTTCGATAGACAATTTGAAGTTGGACATATTAGGAGTAACTGAATCATGGTTAACTGAACAAGTTAGTGAACAGGAAATTAAAATAAACAATTTTAAGTTTTATCGCGTTGATCGTGGGTCTCGGGGAGGTGGAATAGGGGTTTATGTTCGATCTGATATTACAGTAGTTGAGATAGATGTAACTAAGGACCAGAGGGGAATTTTTGAGCAGCAATGGCTTATTCTCAAAATTGGCAAAATAAAATTGGGGTTGGGCATCATTTACCGTCCTCCTCGTTTTAATTTGATGACTGCTTTACGCCAACTGGAAGAATCAATAGCTAATTTAGTTCCAGTGACAGATGAATTGATTATAATGGGGTACATTAATATTAATCTATTAAGACATACTAACATAACCAATCAGTTTAATAATTTGCTAGATACTTTCAACTTCAAGCAAGTTGTAATTAACCCAACTAGGTACTCTCGAGACACAGCCAGTTTGATTGATGTCATCATCATGTCCGATGATCATCTCTTAAGTGGCAGTGTCCATCATCAGGACTTGCATCAGCATTCCGATCATCAGCTCATACACTGTTCAATAAATATTAAGATATCTGCCGTTAGGCCTAGAGTTATTAAATATCGTAACTTTAAACACTTTGACATTTATAGCTTCAAACAAGATCTTATAAACTTCCCTTGGTGGCAGGTTGTAGACTGTGATAATGTTAACCAGAAGACTGCAATTCTCTCAGATATGATATTGACTCTTTTTGATTCCCATGCGCCAATATGTGAGAAAAAAGTTACCAGGCCACCTTCCCCGTGGTTTACTGATGCGTTGCGTGCGATGAAGAATTACCGTAACTATCTTTTCTCTAAATACAAACGTACTAAAGATTTACGGGATTGGGCATCCTACAAAGAAATGAGGAATTTTTTTACGTCAGCTGTTCGACAAGAAAAGAGAGCTTATATTGATTTTGTCAGCCGTACTAAAAAATCCAAAGACATGTGGAAGACACTAGACCAACTTAATATCTATAACAGATCTAAAAAAAATATAGAAATTCCTAACCATCTTAAGAACCCAAATTCAATTAATCAATATTTTATCGACTCGGTGCGACAAATACCTAGCACTGTCGATACGAATACTATTTCTAAATATCTTAATTCCAAATGCACAACCGCAGAATTTGAATTGAAACTCGTTAGCGAAGATGACGTTTTCTGGGCAATATCGGAGATTGGGTCAAACGCCTCTGGTGCAGACGGAATTAGCCTTGACATGGTGAGGTTGTGTTGTCCAACCATCTAACCCGTGCTGGTTAACCTATTTAATGCCTGCATACAAAATGGCATTTTTCCTGCCCAATGGAGAACGGCTGTGGTCCTGCCGCTGCCTAAAATTAGCAGTCCTAAGGATGTCTCTGATTTGCGACCAATTAGTATACTACCAGTGCTGTCTAAAGTTTTTGAAAAGCTTATTTATAGGCAAATCATTACTTATTTCACAGATAATAATTTATTACCCAAGTTGCAGTCTGGATTCCGTAAAGGGTTTGGTACTACCACGGCTCTGTTGAAGGTTCTAGATGACATTCTTTTGGCTGCGGACCGGGGTGAAACTTCGGCATTGGTGTTGTTGGACTTTAGCAAGGCCTTCGATACCCTGAACCATGCATTGCTGTGTGCAAAACTTTTGTACTATGGATTTAAACTTAAGACTATTCAACTTATTCGTGGTTATTTGGATGACAGATCGCAGTCGGTCTCAATTGATGGGCTTAAATCAAAACCCTTGAACGTGGATAGAGGAGTACCTCAGGGATCACTTTTGAGCCCTTTATTTTTTATCATTTTTACTGCTGATATGTCGAAGTGCTTTGGTGACATAAACAATCATAGATACGCTGACGATACACAGATTCAGCTTTCTTTTGTTAAGTCGGACGAAATTGAAGCGGCTAGGAGGCTAAACGAGTGTTTGGATTCAGTTTTCAAATACTCTTTTAATCATGGCTTGAAATTGAATCCTAATAAATCAGCCATAATCTACTTTGGGCCAGCTAAAGATTGGGCGTCTGTAAACTTGATGATAGCAGTGGATGGTGTGGCAATACCGGTTGTTGAGGAATATAAAAATTTGGGCGTTATCTTTGATAACAAGCTTAGATTCCGAAGTCATGTGTCTAGGCTTCTACAAAAAGCCTATTTTAACCTTCGCAATATTTACAAAAGTAAAGATATTCTTAGTTTTAAGTTAAAAAAGGTTCTCTGCGAAGCACTGGTCTTGTGTCACCTTAACTATTGCAACTTTGTGTATGGTCCTTGCTTAGATGTATTTACTAAGGATAAACTCCAAAAAGTGCAGAATTCTTGCATACGACTTATTTACCAGCTTAGACATCATGATCATGTCAGTCATAAACTTTCCGAACTGAAATGGTTGAATGTTTCCAATCGAGAAGAGCTGCATTTTGCTTGCTTTCTTCATAAATTGATTAAAACTAAAAGCCCTCCATATCTGTTTGAAAAATTAGCTCGTAGAAATCTGATTCACTCTCGTGCAACACGCTTTAATGTACTTTATGAAATACCTAAAATAACTAAAACCATGACTCAAAGCTCATTTTCCTATACATCAGTCAAACTTCTAAACCAATATAATATAGGTCAATTTGAAGATATGTCTCCTAATATGTTCAAACGAAAACTGAAACAACTGCTTCTGTGAAGTATAAGTTTTTATTATTGCTTATTTTCTTTGTATACGTACATCTGTTGTTATTATTGTTCATTGTTGTTATGTAATATTCTAAAATTAATGTAATGTAAAACTTGTTTCTTGTCATATTACTTTTCTTTTTGGCTTGTTGTTTCTTTTTACATGCTCGCTTAAGTTAACAGCATAGCTGGCTTTCGCCGAGTTTAAAATAAAGGCGTTTTTATTTATTTATTTATAACGTCAAAAAGAAGTAATATCTTATTCCTTCGCGATTACAATACTTCCCTGCCAGCGGTGTTTAGAGTCCCTCAACAACAATCGATTTAAGAAATTTCGGATTCTGTCATTTTTTTACGTAATATCCTGTATTTCAAGAAGAAGCAACTTTCCAAAAAAATATTGGTATACCATACTACTAGCGATTCGATGATTCATTGTTAAGTTATGAGTGCTTCAATGAATAAAAACGCTCAACTTTGGTAGTCCGGCTTTCCGCTATTTTGGAAGTTAACAAATATGTAATGTAAAGTCATAAATTACTAAAGAGGCGATTCAAAATAACGCGTCATAATAACCCCCATTCTATTTAAGAAGTTGTTCCAAGACATCCACTGTCTTGAAATTTTCAAAGCCACTTTTACGTTAAAAGACTGTAATATAATCAACAGTTTCATCTCAATGGATTTCAACTTGCTAACTTGGTTTGTTAATAGAATAACTTGTAGGAGCCTTTTTGCAAGGCATCGTATTACTTTTGCATTAGGCTGGGTCTAACATGTTTGGATGTTGGACCAGAGTTCATACTACATACTGAAGCATAATTTATTACAAAACGTTAAAAATCAGCGATCGGAATTGCATGAAAGTTCCTTATTATGAATGATTAGGGAAGAGTATATGTACGAAATATCTTTAGATACCACTTACACAGGAGGTCAACTCTCTAGCATGATGAACTAGAACAATAGAAAGTGGTGTTGCTTATTACTGTCTGAAAAACTGTCCATAAGCATCTCGAAGAAATTCTATGATTTAGCTTTTGCAAAATCTTACCACACCCAAAACTGAGACAAAAATTTTCGATACAATTTCCTAAACATCATTCATCGTGAATTAACAAAATCGCTATTGAAAACTTTTGTTTTTATATATTATACGTTAGCGTAAGTAGCTGACGGCCGCCCCCCTATACTGTATTTCCTGAGCACTGATGGAACAGTCACCCCCGCGTTATCCTCCTGGTACACTGCATGAGAAACCATGCGGAAGTACACCATTCTTTTAAGATTTTTGCACGCCTAACAATGTTGGCAAAGAAGTACCTACTAGTAGAAGCAATTCGGACCAATGTATGGAATACCCAAAGTTATGCAAGGTGTTCATTTGAAAACTTCTTATCACGGATTTATCGAAAACCACTGATAAAAAGGGGGTGAAGTAGTCTTTAGTTACAAAGTTTTCCCTCTTGTCAAATTTTTTGACATGTCTCAGCGTTTTTTTTTTATCAGTGTAGTTGTGTTGAATCAGCACCAATCAATATGTGCTGAGAAGAGTATGTCGATAAACGAATATAAGTGTTTTTCCATTTCTTTCACGAGGCGTACGGAGTATGGTTTGTAAGAAATTCAGAAACGTTTGTGTCAATCTCTCTCTACCACTTAACTTTCAAATGATTTCCTTGCATCTCATCCATCACGTAAAAGAGATAGCTGTGAAATATAAATTTAGCTAAAAGTCATTCAACCTTGCTATCATCACTAATATTAGGGTAAATGGGTAAACTCTCAGCCCGCATCTTTCATCGCGTGAAACAGTCAAAGGAACATTGTAATTTATTCGACCAAGTCACGAAAGACTTAGCTCGAATTCCTTGATCCTTTATACAAATCATTTTGATTCTTCTACTATCAGGTTAGTAGTGTATCTGATTTTTTTTTTATTGCAGCATAATAATAGTTTTGATATATGCTAAAATTATTTCATCGTCTCCATCACTCGATACTTTTGGATTTAGTGGACAAACTTTCTCTCCAACTCCTCCATTATGCAGGGAAAAGTAAAGGGCCAGAAATGCAGAGCAAATTTCGACTGCTCCAGCGGCAGCAGAGAAGTGATAGCATCTACGAGAAGGGCTGGTGTGAAATATCGCTTTGGATAGCTCCTTGTACAGAGAGAGAAAATTGGATGAAATAGGGTCTGCAGGAAAATTATAGGTATTCGGCTTTCGATTAATTTCACTGGCATTCCAATCAAGGTAAAGGATTATCTAATGGAAGGAAAAACGAATTGCATGGAAATGTATATATACATAGATAAAGTAACATACAATAGATAGAATAGAATTTCTGTCACTATCTAGATTGTGTTCAGTTCGTTTACAGACGGAACGCCAGATGAACTATAATACAAAGGATATGGATCAAAGCAATTGTGTGTGAGTTATAGAATCGACCTACTAGACACCACGTTTATTAAAAAATCTGTGATGATATATATACATATATAGGAAATATAGGAAAATAATGGGCAAAATCCGCAAACAGGAGAAAAGTGGATTCGAGCAGAAAATAGGATAGGTACCCGAGCGATCCGTATTTCTGCTAGTTGGCTTCATCAGGCCCGAAATAAATGCACATATGAAAAGTGGATACACACGCCCACACATCCGGATACGGGTGTAACCTGAGGAAACGAAGATGGAGAGGGAAAAAACAACACAACAAGAGCCAACCTACACATTGTAATATAAAATGGCTAGAAGACCTGGAATTTCATGGAGACATCTAACCACAACCACGCGGCCCGTTTTAGCCACTTGCTGTGATACTTCATGCTCAAAGGATCTACAAAGAGAAAATGATCATGCGGAGAAAGGTAGATCCTTGGGCTTGAAGTACCACAGCAACTGGCTACAACTGGTCGCGTGGTTGTGGTTAGATGTCTCCTTGAAAATTCGAGGTCATCTAGGCATTTTATACTACAATGTGTAGGTTGGCTCTTGTTGTGGACTTCGTGTGTTGTTTTTTCCCTCTTCATCTTCATTTGCTCAGGTTACACCCGTATACGGATGTATGAGCATGTGAATCTACTTTTGTAGTTTCATATATGCATTCATTTCGGGCCTGATGAAGC